GAAGATTCTGGGCACATGAATTAGATACAGATTTTAATGTTTAAATCGCCACTTTCATTCCTCATTAATCATTTAATGCTGGTACCATATGATCTTGTTTCAAGGCTCAGGGTCCGTGCCTGAGGGCTCACACTTGTATGTTCTGATCTTCAGTATGTAATGTCTTCTGACGTAGAAAATAATTGTAGATAGTGCAGTTACTTTTTTTAAAACAAGCTATAATTTTTAGAGATTTATAAAGGGGGCAGGGAAACCATTTTATGATCCAACAGGTTAACTCCAATGCCTGAGGTGCGGAAGTTGGCCAACGATGTACCGTGAGATTCTTGCGCTTCGTGAGAGAATCTGGCCGAGTGTGTGACTCTGAGGAAATGCACAGAGGTGTGCGTACACTTGTGGGCTGAGGTCAGGCTCTCACGGTGGGAAAGCTGGGGAGGGAGTGGCAGTTACTTTTGCATTTTCGTTTTAGAATCAAGAATACTCTGGAGTGTTTGTTACAGGTGATTTCTAGTATGTGGTGGTCGATCCTATCACAGTGGCCGTGGCCCAGCCGGCCTTGAGTGAGGTTTATCCAGCTGCTAGGAGGACGAGGAAGTGCAGGGCACAGACTTCTGTCCCGGGTGGCCCACCCGTGGTCCCCAGGAGCCGCGAGGCCACTCGGGCACTTTCAGGGGGCGCCACACTGGTAGTAGCCTCTGCGTGGCCAGTGGGACGTTTGCCACACATGGCCGAACAGCATCAGGATTGGGTCACCTTTCACCCCCGCCCCCCCCGGGAAAAGAGTTCATAATCTTTTTGCATTAGTGGGTGTATGTGGCTTTCTCTTTTCCTGACATTCCCAGCAAATTGTTGCTGCTAAGACTCACTGTTAAAGTGACAATTACAGGGACAGGTGTGATGCGTGTGCCGGAACTCCCAACGCGGTATTTCCTTCATGTCGCTTCCCCTTTAGGAACTTGCTGGTCTCTACTTTAATTACGTATTCATACAAAAGAGCCTGAGTGTGTGTGGATTTTCCTGTAAAACCTAAATATTTGTATGTTACTTGGGGGAAGAGGCCCCTTTGGCCCCCAGAGGGCCGGCCTTCTCTCCCCTGCTGTATTAGTAGCTAAATTCCGCCCCATAGGTTTAGTTAGATTTATTTTTAACAAAAATATTAGAAATTAGGCTTTTAAATGTTTAACGTAGACTGAAGTTTTTGTATTTAGTTGGAGGATCTATGACGTATATCATCTGTGTGGCCTGAAGGGAGTTGTTTTTAACCTTTAATCCGTTTAATCAGTTGTGTTGCATCTTGACAAATACTGAGTGTCCCAGTGGCCTTTTTTAAACTGGTGTGTGTCCTTCTTTTGAGAGTTCCCCAGTAAGCAAAAAAATGAGCGTTGTGCTGTCTTTGTTTTTAGAATTACAGGCTGGAAATGTGTGTCCAATTTTTAAAGCAGTTTAGATTGTGTTTTCCAGGGAAGAACAAGTCTGACCATTTACGCATTGATTTTCTTGAAAAGGATTATAGTTTTATAATTTCAGTTCTAAATCATATTTTTGATATGCTGCATGCCAAAAAGAATCTACCTGTTCTAGGGGAGAAGAAAAAAAAAACCCATCTTACTGTCCAAGTGCAGAACAAGTTATCACTGAGAAAGCCTTTTTGGTTTCATTTTAAAAGTTAAACACGTCTTTTGAGCAACTGTCAGTTCTTCTTTGATTTCTGAAGTCAGAATGCAAGCACGGTGTATTTTGAGGGCTTTGCAGACCCAATGGCTCACTCCCAAACCCCTGGGTATTGGTTCTCATTCTGGAAGAGAATCTGGTTGAAACTGGCGTGTCCCACGGTGCCAGCAGGGGACCGCGAGGAGCCGTCCAGTCCCGCTCTGAGCACCAGGACTTCTTGGCCAGAGGCAGTCATGGTTAGGACTCCGGACTCTGCTTGATGCAGATGCGATCGATCGTAACAGTTGTTAAGACTTCTTAGCAATCAGATAAGTTGTTTGCTTTCTATTTTGCATAGGAAATGGTTTTCTAAGACAAATACTTGAATTGTCAGACAATGTAATCTCAGTTTGTATTAGTTTTTGAGGAAGTGTAATCCATGAAATGTGAATAAATGGAAAGTAAACAAAATCAGTGTTTGACACTTTTATGTTCCTCGGTGATGTTCCTGGCGTCGATACAAGTCATGTGGGCCGGGGGAAGGACCGTGCAGAAACCCCCAGGCAGCGGAGGATCTGCTTCCTCTCCGCCCCTCGCGTATGCGTGTGGCCTCCTCCGAGCCATTCGAGAGTCTGTCCTGTGGGATTTACGTCCTTACAAATCTGAATTGGAATGGTAGATGTGTCACGGGCCACCATGGGGAGCACTGCGCCAGGCGCTCTGCATCTGGTGCTCATTTGGCCCTCGGGGCAAACCTCCCAAAGGGGCTCCATGGTGCGTTTTCCAAAGCACGGCCCTGGGCCAGGTTAGTGTGTTTCTTACAAATACATAACGTGGGTTTGGGATCTGTGTCCAGGTCTGTCTCAGTCAAAAATCTGAACCCTCCTAAGGACGTTTTAAAACTAAAGATCAAGATGATCAAGAAAAAATACATTGTTATTCTAGAGCTTTAAATTTTCAGTGATCCAGAAAATCACTATTACAGCATGAACAGATTAAACTGTAATAGGATTATGATACGATTTTGGAGTCAAGTGCTGAGTAACTTCAGAGGTGTGTCCCCGCAAGGTACTGTGAAGACGGACTTACTCATCGAAGTAGTATTCCGGAACCAGTAACATCCAGTGGGAACTCAGTGACACAAGAGGGTGTTTGTCCCGAAAACGCACCAGCCCTGTCGTAAGTACTCGGCGATGGGCCGCTGACGGATGGGTTCTCCAAGCATGGAGCTGGCAACCACTGGCCACACCTTGGAACTTGTTAGAAATGCAGACTGGGGCGGGGGGTGGGAATAGCGTGGTTTTGGTTTTGTTTTTATTGAGAAATCCACACACTCTTAAAGTGAAAGCTTCAGTTGTTGTTAGTATAGTCCCAGAACTGGGCAACCATCACCACTGATTCCAGAACACGGTCATCACTGGCCGTGTGGGTTTCAACAGAGGGTTCTGACACACGCTCAAGTCTGAGAACCGCCCCACCCCCCACAGGCCGCCTCGGTGCTTTGTGGTGATGCCCTGGGGGCACATTCCAGGAGGGGAACGGCAGGGACTCAGTGTTGCCGGGGACCGTGTCAGCCTCTGTACACAGGGGTCTCACCTCAACCTGCCCCCAGGAAGGGGGGTACGGCCGCGAAAACCCAGGCCCGGGTCCCACGTGCCCGGGGAGCCGCAGACCCACGCGGGCTGTCACCAGCGCCCCGCTCGACGGTGTGTGTACGTGCCCGTTAAAGGACTAAACTTGACCGGCTTCCGGAATGGTCTAAAATCTTGAGAACAAAATTGTTTATTCAAAACATAATCATGAAAAGTCACTAAAAACCATGGTTCTCTCAAACTGAGCAATCTAATTGTTTTATTAAAGTCAGATTCCAAGATGAAAGACCCTTAGTCCACACATAGGGAAAGCAATACCTTGTTAAACCTGTTGGCTTATGTAAAGGCCAAGTCAGGAGGGACGCGATGACGCGATGAAGCCGCGAGCAAAAGAAAGGACCTCTTGTTTTTTTTTATCATCCCCCAAAACAAACATTTCCCCTTCTCACGTAAGTTTTCCAGCTGTTCTTCCTGCCCTCTTAACAATCAAGCCCAAAGCACAGCAGGCTTATCCATTCAACAGGTAAATACACAATGAACTAGGATAGCGTATGGATTAATTTAGTTTACATTTCCCCCTCCTCCCGACAGGAAACTCCCAAAGGTTTTCTCTTCCAGTCAACATGATTTTCTAAAGCTAGGGCATGACCGTAGTTCCTAAAAGTTCATCTAGGACGGAACAGAAGGACCGAAATAGCAGCATTAGCCTTCAGGAGTAGGCAGCTCATAGGAGGGGGTTCTTGCACAGCTTTCTCCACATTAGCTGTTAGGTATTTTTCAGGCGACTGTTTTAAAGGGGACTCCTCCTTCAACGGGAAGGGGGTTTGACCTGGATGGCAACAAAGACATTGTCTTCATTTTACCTACCAGACGGCCTGCTTGATAACCACTCACGCAATCTGCCCTTGGTGATGTTGCTTCAGGAAATTCTGGTTCGGCTGTTTCCAATGCAACGGATGGAGAGAGATGTCCTCGATGTGACAGTTCGCACTATTTCTAGCTTTGCCTGTGTGTTCCTCTCAGACCCTCCCTTCTATGTGTTCACTTCCTGTAACTTCCTGCCGTGGTGGAGGCCTGACGCGTGCCCATCACCTGAGATACAACTTTAGAGTTCGTTTGCTCTCGGGACGAGTGAGCCCACCGCCGAGCCTCCATCAGCCCCTGGGAGGTGGAGTCAGCTCGAGAAACGTGCAAGCGCGCTAGACATCAACTGGATTAACTAGAGTCTCAAGGCAACAGACAACCAGGGCCCAGAAACCATCTTCCCGCAGACCAGGCAGCCTGTCAGGAGCCTGCTCTGTTTGCACTTGACCTCGGGACTCCTGACTCTGATCCTGGGCATTTTCCCATTGCCACAAGGCCTTTTTTAGAGGTTCTCCAGAAAAAGCTTGGGACATCTGACAGTGTGACGGGAGGGCTCATACTACTTTATGGGGACTGGGAGCTAAACCCGAAACGCGTCTCTTGTGATTGGATTTTGCAAATGTTGCCTCGGACCAAAACCTGGCTGCGGGCGCCCCGACCCCATGGCTGACTCAGCATGGCCCGAGCCAGGGCCCGGGGTGCTTTCTGTCCATCTCCAGCATTTCTAGAAAGGAACTCATGTGAAAGCTCCAAAAACGGTCGAAGAAGAAATCTTTGGGGGCAAATTAAGGTTCAATCACTTAAGTTTATGCATTGCTGTAACATCTGTATTTGATCTGAAATACCCATTAAAGAAAAAAAACAATTAAGTACAGATTCATCAGAGGAAAGCACTGAGGAAAAATAAATTTAATATCCAACATGCAAATCAACTTTCAACAGAAATGCAAAAAGCACAGCTCACAGCCAACCAAATGCTGCTCAGAAATGATTTCTGTACGTGGAAGACAGTGAACCCAGAAGCGGCTCATGTTTATGGAAATGCCACTGACCATGAGACAGACCCTAACGTGTTCGATTATGCCACCATGGTGTTTTTGCCAAAATATATTTTGTAGAAATCGTTTTAGTTAAGCCTCAAAGTCGTGAAAAATCGCAACAGGTTTTCTTTGCAGGTTTTGATTCTCACGTGGAGAGTTTGCTCGGGAACCGCGAGCAAATGTACACCTACGTGCTCACTATGTACACCTAACCCGCCCGGGCTTGCAAGATGCTGGGGGGGGGGGGCGGCTGGAGCGCCACTGTGACCTCTGGTGTCCGGCGCTCAAGGCCCCGGCGCCGCCAAGATCAAGGTGCCTGCTTGTCTTGGGGATGGTAGAAAACTGTAAACACAAACTCTCTCCGCTGCGGGGGATCCACCGCCGGCCGGGCCACTCGGGGTCCGGGTGACTTGGCTTCTGCGGGTGGGCGTCCAAGGAGTTCTCCAGACCACTCGAGACAGAGGCTCAGAGAAAGGGCCGGAGGATTCCTTGTCCCACCAAGGACTGTGTCCGCGCCATGACAGCCGGTGGAAAGGAACAGAGGAGAGGAGAGCAGCCCCGCGTGCGCCCCCCACCCGCCTCCCAGGGCTCAGCCCCCCCGAGGGCCGGGGGGCACCGTGGCCACGGGAGCCTGGAGGGCAACGCCTCCCGCAGGAGGCCGGCATGGGCCTGCTGCTCTCCCGGAACCCGTGTCCGGTCAGGGTGCTGATGTGTTTTAAGAGAAATCTGCTTTCTGAGACAAAGACGAGAAGAAGCCCGAACAGGGAGAATCAGCGTCACACCCACGGACGCTCGGTGTTTGAGGCCGGATAGAAAACCATGTTCCAGCTCAGTCGTGTGCCGCGGTGGGACCGCTCGAGGCTCATGAAACCGTCGGCAGCTCCCTAACGCCTGACATCTTTAGAGGGTCGTGGCCAGCGATTTCGGGCCTCCCTGTTGGGACGGCGTCAGAAGCGTCCTTCGAGTCCAGTCACTAGGATTTAACAGCTGCACAGGGCCTGCCTTCGGGAATGTCTTTTAATGGGAAAAAAAGAGTTTTTACCACACTTTGCAAGTCTACTGACTAGACGGTGATTAAAACAGCAACACCAGCTCCTGGTTTGCTTCTAGCCAGACTCTTTAAAAGAGCAATCCCACCGGGCAGGTGCCTCTGTGTCGTTAACTAGCACTGCTCCGTGGGGAGCAGAAACCTGACCGGATCATCTGGGCACGGTCCCTGAAAAGTCCAAATGTGAGCGGGAACGGGACTCGTCAGAACGCCCAGCCATCTCCAAGCTCACTGGGCTGGGGAAGATTTTGTTCTCTGTGGACTACTTCCCTGTCACTTGAGAATATTCTCCTGAGCTACTGAGCCTCGGCTGTCTCTCCAAGCAACTGGAAGTTCCTGGAAGACCTCAGCGTGCGAGACCGAATGCCCCCCTCAGCCTGCAGGCGCTGGAAGGTGGACTAGAGGCGACATGCCGCCCATCAGACGCTAGGACCGTGACATTTCTCAGAAAAAGAGAGCTTTCTTATTCATGTCCTAAAAAGGGACACCGCGGGGTCTTCACAGAAAAACCGTACTTTGATTCCAGTTCCCACTGAAGAAATGTGCGCGCGCTTCGGTCTTCCCTGCAGTACACGAGAGACAGGCGTGTTTCCAGAAAAGTTAAAGACGGCCTTACGAGAAGTGACAGCCGGACACGCCGGGACACTGGGGCGCTGGGCTTGGCCCTGTCCCTTGTTATTCTATTACTCTGTTACCGATGTCCTTTGTCACTTTGAAAATAATGAACCTCAGGGTGACAGCTTACTGCCTAGTGACCAAGTGCCTCTCAAAAAAGCGTGCTTAAAAATTCAGTCTCAGAAGTAACCTCTGGAAGAGGGAAAGACGGCGCAGGGTGGAGGCCACCACACACGTCCGTCTGTCCCAGGGCAGCAGTGTCGCGGACGCGTGGGTGGGCCGCTGGCCGAGCCTGCGGGGGCCGAGTGCGGCCTCGGTGGCACCGGGAACAGCCAAGCCGTGGTGCACGCTGTTCGCACGTGGTACGACGAGGCGTCATGGACGACCTGGAACAGCGCTGTGGCGCACGGCAAAGCACTCGCGCACATCACGGCAGCCGGCCCTCGGGCGCCCTGTGCCCGCAGTTTGTCGCGTCACCGAGGCGGCGTCGGACGTGCCCGCGGCCCCGCCAGCAGCCGTGGCTGAGCCCCGGGGCTTGGTTCCGGCGGGGGCACCCTCTCGTGCTCCTCAACCTCTGAGAACAGAGGGAGGGCCGCCGTCCTCCTGCATCTGCTCGACTACCTCCTCCTTCCGTGGAAGATACATCGGGACCGTACTTCTCCCAGGACCTGAGTTCCAGAGTCTTCAGACCCCGGATGACCAGGGAGAAAGCATTCCTGAAGAAAAAGCTGTGTTTTAGCCACCCTGGACACAAACTTGGAGGCGGCGTCTGGCTCCCCTGGAGAACACTCTTGGAACATGGGGCCGCGCTCAGGGAGCAGAGGCTCCGCTCCAGGGCTTGGCGGCGAGGCCTGACTCTGTGCTGTCCTGAAACACTGCTCTGGAACGTGAAATTGTGCAGACAGCTGGGATTCAGCCAAGCGTGAGCTGGGCACTGCCAGAGAAGGCGAGAACGTTCCAGCCCAGCCCCACCACACAGGTGATGGCGGGGAAAGCCTCCCAAGAGCCCCCCACCAACCCGAGCTCTGCAGAAAGGCTGCCTGACCCAGTCGTGCACCGGAACCCTGGACACTTCATGAGGTAGGTGGTATCAGCCCCATTTTACAGGTGGGCCAACTGAGGCAGAATGAAATGCAATAGCTTGCTTTAATAACAGCATACAAAATCTAGAGAAAGCCCCAAAGTAGCCCCTGTTCCCGGAGCCCAGCGCAAACCCTTGGAGCGCACAGAATAAAACAGATGGGAGAACAAACCCCTCCAACCCCTTCTCTCCTTGCAGAGAGGGTCTCCGTGCACGACAGCAAACCCTCAAATATTCCTGGGGACTTCAAACAAAACAACATAGCAACAGAGACCCAGCTGACGGTTTATTCCCAATGGGGCAGGGAACCGCTTCCACTCGAGAAGGCTCGTGGTTTTGAGAAGAGCACAACGTGTCATCCATCACAGGTGGGAATCCCTCCAGCCCGAACAAGGCCGCGGGTGAGCCCGGAGCCGCATGGCCGCTCACACAAACCCAAATCCTCTTTGCCTCAGTGAGCTGGTCTGAGAAATGGGACCAGCGCACTCAGTCAAAGCAAGCAAGCTCCAGGAAACACCCTATCCCCTCCCTGGCCCCCCCGAGGATGGAGGTTATACCTAGAACCTTCCTGGGAGGAAGCCAACCCCACCCCCCCAGCCCTCTTCTCCTGTCTGACTACCAAGCCGTCCCACCCGCCCTCGGAGCCCAAATTTTCTGTGGGTCACGCCAGCCGAGGCGCAGAGCGGGTTATCTCCAGGGTGGAGGTGTGTGTGTTGGTGGTGCTCTTTGGCTGGAAGCAAAGGCCATTCTGGCAGGATCGGGGCCTGTCTGCTCAGCTCGAGGCCTTTCTGGAACCGGGCGTGGGTGAGGCATTCCCAGCCCAGGGCAAACCCCTCAGCTGTGTGCCCCCTCTCCCCGAGGCAACCCATTTGTAACCAAGCGGTAAACAAGGGAGGGCGGACAAGTCGGGACTAACTCGGACACTGAAGTTCATGGGCACAGCAGCACGAAACCTTGAGCCAGTTCTCCTTAGGAAGGCGTCGACACGCTGACGCTCTGCGTGCCCCCAGCCGGGTGGTCTCTCCACCTGCGGTCTGAGTGTGGACGTCGGGTTGGCGGGTCTGGACACACTCTGGACCCTGGCTGCTCCTCTGCTCTCTCTTACAGCCTCTTGGCATCTCTGGTCCTCTGGGGGTGCAGAGGGCGTGCCAGAGATGGGCGGGGGGGGCGGCGGGCGCAGGGGCAGGAGCAGAGCCAGCAGGGGAGGAGGAAGAGGCACTTCAGTTTGGGCTGGTGTTCGTGGAGTCGGCCCTGGCCCCAGGAGTCGAGCGGCCCCGCCTGGCTCCGGCGACGGCGCTGGGTTGTCACAGAAGACCCCGGTGGTGGTGGACAGCTAGGCACTTGGCAGCACCCCCAGGGCTGGGCAGGGCTGGGGGGCTCTGCGCAGGCTCTGCACACGGCTAGGTCATCAGGATGGGCTTCTGCCGCACTTCCAGGATGTCTAGGGCGGCGGGAGGGGGGCGGGCGAGACAAGGAAGTGAAGGCCCCGGGCGCTCCGGCCCCCGACGGCGCCGTTTACGCGGGCAGTCCGGGCTAAGTGCTTGCGTGCATCTCCTCCCGCGCCCCCACCAAAGTGCACCACCACTGTGATTCCGATTTACAGATGGGGGATGGTCGTGGGCCGGCTGCACAACCCAACGAGCCAAGTGGAAGTGGGGCTCCGACGTGGGCTGGCCCAACTCGGGAGCCGTCGCCCAGCACCGCCGCGCGGGCCCTGGTCAGGAGGGGCCCCGAGAGCTCCACCCCACCGCTCCCCCAACCAGTAACCCACCCCCCCGGGGCCCTGCAGCCACTCAAGGGGGGACAGGAGGGGCCGTGGCTTTCCCAGAGAGGCCAAGAACCCAACACAGACACCCACTGACGGGCTCCGGACTTGAAACGAGGGACAGGGTTACCGACACCCCCATGAAACGTGATGCTGTTTTCTACGTCAGCCTGCGTTACCTGTTAAAATCCGATGCAACGGCAAAGTGACGTAGGTCAAGTGTGCATAGAGAAGGAAATTTCCATCCGCTCTGTTCAGCTTCAGCCAGGACCCGACCAGAGACCGCCCCGTGCCAGACAGGGACCGAGACCGCAGGTTGGTGGCATTGTGCAGATCCGCTAGAGGGGAGAAGGCCGCGTCAGGGAGGACTAGGAGAGCACCTCCCACCCCAGGAACCACCTCTGCCTCAGCCTGGGCCCTTTGCCACCAGCCCCTCCACGCCCCATACCTGCCCCAGAGCTGCCAGGCCCTGGCCTGTGACCACCCCCAACTCCCCCCTGCCTAGCCAGCCCTCCCCTCCCCTCCCCTCCAGCTGTCCCTGACCCCTCCAGCTGCCCTAGAGAGGCTCTTCCGTGGGGTCTGGCTTGTCGCCACATCGTGTTACTTCTCCGCTTCCCCGTGGCCCCGTCTGTCACTGGAACTGAGCACCACCAGCCTGCAGGGCCCAGGGCGAGGCTGGGAGGACCCATCACCAGGACCCATTCTTCTGGGTCACCCAGAGAGGCAGGCTGGGTGGTTATCAGCCCTTTTCTACTGATCTGGAAAGGAGCTGAGGGGGGGAAGGCACTTGCCCAAGCACACACAAGAGCAGGTCAAGGCCAGGCCCGTCCGTCTCTGGGCCCTGGCGCTCAGAATAAGGGCTGGTGTCTCTTCTGTTCAAGGCCACAGTCCCAGCTCCCGCCAGCACCACCCCCCCATGCTGTCGGCCATCCCTTCAGCCCCCCAGCACACACGCAGGGTGCTCACACCTTGTCTCTGACAGCCAGCCTGCCCTCCTATAGTCCTTCTCCACAGGGACCGCTGAGCGGTATTTCAGTATGCGAATCTGACTTTGTCACTAGCTTGCTTAAACCTTCCAAGGGCTTCCTGCTGCTTAGATGAGGGTGCCCCTGCCCTGCCCCCCACCCCAGCTCGCTGGCCACAGGGCAGTGAGAAGCTGCGGGTCTGCCAGGAGGGACTGCAGGGCAAGCGGGGGTTAGCCTGGGCCCCCCGCCGGCTCCAGGCAGAGACGCCCAGGAGGCCGCCAGACAGAGAGTGGGTGAGCCCCGCGGAGAGCCTGAGGGACGCCCCTGCGCAGGTTCTGGAGGGAGGGCACTGAGGACCAGCCAAACCTGAAGGCACGAAAGGCGGGAATGAACTGGAGAGCTCACCTCACACTAGGCAAGGGTTTCTCGAACCCTCTGTGTGGAGCAGTCAGACCATCAACTCGGGAAAGGTCTGCAAGCCTCCTGTCCTGCCTCCTGTTCTGACCCGGATCAGAAGCTCCTCGAGGCGGGGATTTCTGTCTGTCCATCCACAGCTCCATCCCCAGCCCTGAGGGGACCCTGACACCTGCTGGCCCCCCGGACGTGAATGCGAGGATGAACCCAGAGGGCCCGGGGTCATAAGCAGCATGCTCACCCCCGCCGTTGTCCTCGCGGAAGAACTCCTCGCTGTCATTGGCCGAGTGAGACTTCTTCATCTCAGCGATCCGGTTCCGGGGCACCTTCCTCTTGAGGGATGGGGAGAAGAATGCGGGCCGGTTGTTCCGCTCCGGGGTGGGGGGCGTGCTGAAGGAGGTCACCTGGGGACAAAGAGCCATAGTCACCAGAGCAGCCTGTCTATACCGCCTGGGCCCTGATGCCACCCGCCGGAGGGCCGGCCTCCCTGGGGCTGAGCGGGTGCTCGGAGCCGGCTCCAGCTCAGGGAGGGCAGAAGGGCCTCAGCTCCGCCCAAGGGGGAGCCGGGTGCCCTCTGCGGGCCCCGAACCCTGGCCGGCCGAAGTAAGACTGCTGACGCCACTCAAGCCCCTGCCACGGTACACGCATCCATGGACGCGTCCCAACCAATCCACGGGATGGGAACTGGTATGAAGCCCGTTGGACCAATGAGGAAATAAGGTGGGACAGCGACCTTGACCTGCCCAAGGTCACCCAGCAGGATGGGGGCAAAACCAGGATTCGGCCCAGGTCTTCTGCCTCCTAAGGCCATGCTCCTCACCCCAATTTCTTCCCCTTGGCTAAGATGCCCTCCCATCCTTCTCAGCCCCAGCACCCTCTGGTGAAGGGCAATGGCGAAGCGGCCCAGGCCTCCATCCCCTCGTCTTGTAACCACACTCAACAACGTTCTGCACAAACACGCACAGCCACGCAGGGTCAGGCGGGAGCAGCACTGGGGACAGACAGGCACACAACACCGCTCCCTGCCCTCAAGGAGCTCACAGTCTGCTGAGGGGCGACAGACTCGGAAAGTGACAACCACAGACTAAAGGCTGGTTGCTGAGACAGAGAAAAGGAAGAGCAGGATACAGGGGAGCACAGAGCAACAGGAGTCCACAGCCTGGGAAATCAGGAAAGGCTTCCTGGAGGAGACGCCGCTCGAGGTGGGTCTTGAAGGACGAGTAGGAGTTCGCCAGGTGAAGAAGGGGGGGAAGGGCGTTCCAGGCAGAGGGAACTTGGCCCATCTCCTCCCTCCTCCCCATGCAAACAAGAATCTGAGGAACAAGGTGAGCTGGGACTGAAACTTCAGGAGCCCCGTCAGCCTCCTCGTCACGGCTTCCGACATCAATCAAAGTCCTGGCGGCCGCTGGGCTCCAGACGGTCCTCCCATAAGCCAGGGAAGTTTTCCAAAGATAGAGAAAAAAAACAAAACACCAGAGACCACAATACACACAGAGTCTGCATTTGTCACGAGCTGGTTACAAATGACCCCTCCAGAAAAGGGGGACACGCGACAGTAAGCACAGAGGTGGCAGGGGCCCAGGCAGCCCCCAGGAGGTCAGGCCCAGCCACTGGCAGCTGTGTGACCCTGGCAGGTCCCTTCCCTTGACCCCGGGTCTCCCTGCTCCCCTGAGCCAGGAACCATGGCCTTCACCCCCAACTACCACCCTGGGAGGGAGAGATTATCACTCCCATTTGGTGGATGGGAAGAGCCAGGCTCAGGCAGGTCTGGTAACATATCAGCAGTCGGTCAGCAAACGCGTGGCCGGAAGCAGCACCCGGGCCGGTCCAGCCCAGAGCCCAGGCCACATCTTCACGAGGACTTCCACAGATACATTCTGCAGGGCCTCGGTGGGCAGTTTAGGACCAGGGAGAAGAATTAGACTCCGTTTCTCAGAAATCAGCTCGGAAATGTATCAACAACCGCTACTTGAAAGACGAGAGAGGCCCCTGCTTGGAACGCTCACCCATGTCTTTGCAAAAAAAAAAAAAAAAAAAAAAGCCGCACGGACTGTTTCTATTTTGCTTTTCAATCACATTCATTGCAGAAGGAACAAAACGAGAAAGGACATAAAGAGGAGGAAGAAACACACTGACCACCTGAAGATATGCATGGTTAACAGTCTTACAGAATGAAAAGTCTAGCAAACACACGCTGCCTTGTCTGGGGCACGTCAGCACTACAGCGTGCTTTATGTCCTTCAGTCCTCTTCCCCAGCGGATCACGCCCGCACCAGCCGCTGGCTGAGCCTCCCAACACCAGTGCTCCCCATTTCTGGACGAGAAAACAGGCCGAAATCTGTCCCAGGTCACCTGAGCAGCAACACCTGGACTCCAGCCCAGTCTCACCCCCAAGCCCGTTCCTGCAGATGGGCTGGCCAAAGCCGCTTCCCTGCCCCCAGCACCCACACCTTCTTGTCCCCTTCCGAGCCCCACTGCTCTGAGCAGCCTGCGGGCTCGAGACTTTCTCCCGCCCGAGCCCTGGGCCCCAATGGGGGTCCTGGGAATGAAGCTGCCACTGACCTCGGCTTCCCACCCCTGGGGAAGGATGGTGGCCTAGAAAGAGCAGGGCTCAGAGGCTCGGTGCTGTCACACGAGAGCCGTGAGACCTGGGGCGGCGCCAGTCAATCCATCAAGCCTGAGTTTCCCGGTCTGCAGACGGGAACGCCCATGTCTACCCACCGGGCTGCTGTGGGGACTCCCAATACTCGAAGATGCACACCACCTCGTAAACAAGGGGGCCGGGCAGAGGGAAGAGCTGGGTGGTCCGGGACCCCGTGTTCTCTCCCCGAGCCTCACAGGGCGGGAGGGGAGGCTGGTTCGTCAGCATCCCCAGGGCACTCCCCAGGTCGCGTGCCCAGGCTCGGCCAGCAGGCCCTCTGAGGCAGGTGCCGGGACCAGCCTGGGTTTCCCTTCAGCTGGGCCCAGCTGCAGCGGCAGCTCAGGGAAGCAGGAAAAGCCCTGGCCCACGCCCTAACCTGCTGTGTGACCTTGGGCAAGTCCCGGCCCTCTCTGAACCTCAGCCTGCTCCCCAGAGGGTGGGGATAATGACACCTACCTCACCGGGGGACTTTAAGGATCAGGGAGGCGGTGGGAAGCGGATCCGAGGGACGAGAGGCCCCTCCCTGAGCTGTGCAGCCCTTACCCGCTCATGCATGGGTGAAGCCGGGCTGGAATCCTCTTCGGTCCCGCCGGGGGACGTGTCACCAATAGACACGCGGCTGACTGCCATCTCCGCATGACCCTTGCCCTGGGGCCCCTTCATGCGCACAAACTCCATGTTGTTGTACTTGTAGAAGCCGAACGACATCTTCTGTGCCATACGGGCAGCCACACTCACCTGCGGACAGGTGGGAGATGGCCTGAGTCAGCCCCCGTAGGGATGGCCTCTTCCTGGGAACACGGGGTCGCGAGGATGGCTGCCCCTCACAGAGTGGCCCCTGAGGGCAGCCCGCTTTCCTCTCAGGGCGATGGACCCCGCTGGCCAGGGCCCCCCCAGCAGGCAGGGTACTGCTGGAATACTCGGGGCTCGGGCGGACGCTCCTCCCACCGCCCCATGATCCATGCCTCGCAGCAGGCCGAGCGCCAGCCTGGGAACACAAGCTGCCCCGGGGAGTCCGAGACCACCCCCCACCCCTCCCCTGGGAGAGGCCAGCCTCGGTGGGGGAGGCCCAGCTGCAGGAGAGCCATCTGTCCACCTGGGTTCCTCCCCCACCCCACCACCAGGGTCCATTTCGGGAGTGTTTGCACGCGGGGTGGGGCCACCTGTCGCTCCGATCCAGTGTGTCCAGGTGAGCGAGGAGGGACACAACAGAACGCAGTCCCTGAGCCACCTAAGAGGGGCCCGGGGGCCGCAGCTGCTCTGAGGAGCTGGGCAAGGCCGGGGGGGGCCGGGGAGGGCCTGTCCTCCCACTTACTCGGTTGTCATACACCTTCTTGAGTGCCTCATAGCGGATGGAGCCCTGAAAGATGACCCCTTGGAACAGGTTGGTTTTGTCACTGGCCACCAGCTCCACGCAGACCATCTCTCCCTCCCCCACCGTCATGTCGCTGAACACCTGAGAGGGGGCATAAGGAGGACAGCTACGCACCACGCAGCCCACAGCCTGGCTCCCCGGCTCCACCCCCTGCCGCCCTCCCGCCCACACCCCTGCTCCAGGGGCTGTGCACCGACCCCACTTCAAGGTCACACGGACTCAGGTTCAAATCTTGGCTCTGCCACGAACGGGCCATGCCAGCCTGGAGACGGCACTTAGTGCCCTGAGCCGAAAGTTCTCCAAGGCACCAACCAATCGAGAAGAGACCCTGAAACACAGGCGCCCGTCTTCGTGAGTCTCCCCTGGGGTCCTGACCACCTCTAGGTGAGTACCAGCACCGCTATGGGGACCTCGGCGGCAGCGGGGAGCAGCTGGGCAGGAGCTGGGCAGGGTCGGGGGCAGGGTGCCTGGTGTGGCCCGCGTGAGTCACTTTCTGCCATGAGTCCCAGTTTTCCCAGCCTGAAAACAGAAGCTTGGCCCAGAAACTCCCACAGCCCCGCCCCCTCTGACACCCTAGCATCCCGTGGCGTGGAGGCACTTGTTTGGAGGTTTATGGCCATCCTAATGTCTCCTCCTGCCCGGGCAGCCCTTTTATGTAGGAGTTTATGACGCATTCTCCCATTCACGAGCTGGTGTGATCTTCGACCCCGACGGGTAAGTAGGCCACGTGATCATGACGCTCATTTTACAGCTGAGAAAACAGGCTCGGAGCTAGGTGAACCCCACTGGCCCCAGTCCAGCGCCAGGAAGAGCGGGGGCCACAGGGACAGGAGTCAGGATCGCCCCACTCCCCACTGCCCTCGCGGCCCTGACGAGGGGCCTGGGGAGACATGCTGGGCACGAGCAGCTCACCTCCTCGAAGCTGTCGATCATGAAGAAGATGTTGGGGTAGCTGATCTTGGATTCTTCCCCCTTGCTGTCCATGGGGTGTTTACTGGGGGACGCAAACACTTGCTGAAAGGAAGGGCATTTGAAGGACTGAGTGAGGCGAGGCCCTGCCCTGCACCCAGGCCCACAGCCACTCAAGGGACAGGTCACTGTGGTCACACGGCTCAGAGCCAGGCCAAAGCCAGAGGGAACCACTCTGCGAGGCGCTAGACGGGTTTCCAGTCAGACCTGCCCCTCCAGGCAGGGAAGCAAGGAGGAGGAGGGAGGGGGGGAGGAGGAGGAGGAGGAGGAGGAGGGAGGGGGGGAGGAGGAGGAGGAGGAGGAGGAGGGAGGGGAGGAGGAGGAGGAGGAGGAGGAGGAGGAGGGAGGGGTGGAGGAGGAGGAGGAGGAGGAGGAGGAGGGAGGGGTGGAAGAGGAGGAGGAGGAGGAGGGAGGGGTGGAGGAGGAGGGAGGGGAGAAGGAGGAGGAGGGAGGGGAGGAGGAGGAGGAGGAGGAGGGAGGGGAGGAGGAGGAGGAGGAGGGAGGGGAGGAGGAGGAGGAGGAGGAGGAGGGAGGGGAGGAGGAGGAGGAGGAGGAGGGGAGGAGGAGGAGGAGGAGGAGGAGGGAGGGGAGGAGGAGGAGGAGGAGGAGGGAGGGGAGGAGGAGGAGGAGGAGGGAGGGGAGGAGGAGGAGGAGGGAGGGGAGGAGGAGGAGGAGGAGGGACGGGAGGAGGAGGAGGAGGAGGGAGGGGAGGAGGAGGAGGAGGAGGGAGGGGAGGAGGAGGAGGAGGAGTGGAGGAGGAGGGGGAGAAGGAGGGAGGGGAGGACTCGTCTCCCGCACCCAAACGCTGAGCAGCCACAGGGCTGCCATTTCTGGGCTGAGCTAGCAGTCGGGGGCCTGGGGGCTTACCTGGGATTTCTTCTTATGGATGTGGATGTCCCCCCCATCAGCGCGTGTGCACACAGCACAAGTCACCATGTAGTCCAGCTGGAAGAGAGCGCGCAGCACAGCGTGCGTGCAGGGGTCGCCCGGCCGCCCGCAGCAGCCCCGGCCCCACCACGCCCCTGTACCTTCTGCAGGATGAGGTTCAGGCAGACACTCTCCTCCCAGTCGATGTCAGGGTCTCCAAGGCCCGGCAGCTTCTTGGAGTCACGCCGGTATACCTCTACCTCCACCTCGGGCTCAGCCTCGGCCAGCTGGGGGGGGCAGGGCGCAGGTGAGTCCTGGCGCCTTCTGCCCGACTACCGCGTGGGCAGCTGCTAACACAGACGTGGACTCCAGCCTGGCTTCTCGGTCTCCAGCTATGTGGCCCCAAGCTAATTAAGAAGGGAGCCTCCGGGGTGGTCCCTCGGTGGCAGCAGGGCATGGGGATCCCAGCCTCCTGTCCCACGCACACTGCTTCTGTTCAACCTGCCCGGAGGTGGCCGTCCACCCATCCGCCCACCACCACCACCGGCCTAACACAGGAAGCCCGCAGGTTGCTATGGCAACTGGGTACCAGCTCAGCTGCAGGCTGGGGAGGGGGCGGGAGGCGGCCCCGGCTTGCCGCAGAGAGCCCGCGGTGCGCAGGCGCCTGCCCGGGGCGCTCCTTGCTTTCTGTTCTTTTGAGTGGTGGGGGCAGAGAGGCTGCTGGGGAACGGCTGTCCAGTCTCCCCATTTGTCCCTCCCTGCTCACCCTGCACCCTTCAGGCCTGCAGGGTCTCCCCACATCGCTGCCCACCCCCTGCCCTCCAAACACTACAGACACCACACGGTCCCCTTTTGTAGGTGTCGGGTCACGTGTGTGCCTGGTGCCCCCCCCCCAACACCTCCTAGGCTGGTCCCTCCAGTGGGAATGTCCTTAGGCCGCCGTGGACCCCTCTCTCTGTCCTACAACACTGAGGCCCGATGTCACAGCTTTGTCTGTGTGGGCTCCCGGCTGTCCCCCGTTCTCTCACTACTGCAGCACTGACCGCTCTGTGATCACTCACGATGCTGTCTGCTCCCTGAGGACAGGGCCAGGTCTGAGTCATTCCTGGGCTCCCAGTGCTGGGGGGAGGGGCATCTGCCTACAGCTCACTGCAGTGTTCGATGGAACATTCTAGCAAGTCAACAGCTGGACAGCCACATGCCCCTGTGTACTCAGGCTCCCCGGGCTGACCTCAACACCCCCAAACCTTCCAGGAAGTTTGCACATGGTCCCAGGACTCCTGCTCCAAACTCCTCAGTTCTGGATCCAGGGAACTTTTCTTCCTACCTCTTCACCTGGCCTCTCCCTTCTCCTGCCTCCTGGAGAATTCCAGGTGGGCTGAGCTAAGAAAATCATCCCTAACCAGAGCTGGGGCCTCTCCTGGCACCAAAATTCAAGGTCCAGCTATCTCAGATCCTTATTAGAGCCTCTGGTCTCAGCAGGCTGCCTTTGGGAGAAGATCAAGATTTTGCAAACAAACAAACAAACAAACAAACAAAACAACCCCAAAAAACCCCAACAAACAAAACCCAAAGTCTGCAGCAGATGCCACAGGCCAGTGGTGCAGGCTGCAGGGCAGAGGCCACACCCAGCTGCCCCCTCACTGCTTGCCCTTGGGCAGAAAGCTCCCCATTCCAGTTCTGCAGGTGAGCCCTGGCGGTAGAAGCCCATGCCCCAGGGCCAAGCTGAGAGAGGACAGCATGCCCACAGTGGGCGTCCCTGGCAGTGAGGCTCCCTAGGTGCTCACCGCCCTCTGCCAGGAGACTCATGTGGTCACACCATCCCACACATCTTGCCTCCCAGGTGTGCGCAATGAGAGGACCTTAACCTCACTGAGCATCTGCCCAGCCCCCTTCCCAGGACAGGCTGAGCCGCGGAGTCACAGGGCAAGTCGGGGGAGACAAAGCTGGAAAAGCTGGTGTCTCAGCTGCACCCCTAGACAGGGCGGGCATGGTGAGCAGGGACTGAGGAGCTCTGGGCCAGCCTCCCGAGGTGCTCAGCTCATGGATCTCTCCACCAATACCTGCTCCCCCCACCCCCAGTTCTACCCACTGGGGCCCTCTCTTCATCCCTCCCAGAGGGCACCCCCTGCCCACACTGAGTACAGCCTGGGTCCCTGCCCACCACTGAGGCTGCTCTGCCCACGCCTTCCCAGCCTCTGGTCACAGGTCCAACGGCCCATCCCCCTTCTCATCCTGCTGGACTTGGCTCCTCAGGTCCCGCGTCCCCGCTGGTCATGCCCTCTCCTCCTGGCACTCCATCTGGCCAGCCGCTCAGTCTCCTGCTGGTCCCTCCAGGGTCAGGCTAACTCAGACCTCTGTCCTAGGCCTCTGTGACTGTCACACCTCCAAGTCTCCCTCCTCTTCCCACAAATTCCCATGGCCCCAGGTACCATCTTGGAGCCAATGGTCCTAGACCTCTGCCTCTGTCCCCGGCCTCTCTGCTGAGTTTCAACCCACAGGAGATCCGCCACTGGAGGACATCACCGTCTGGATGGCCCACAGGCGCCTAGGACTCAACCTGTCCAACACCGAGCCCTGTCCTGTGACAGCCCCAGACTCACCCTGAGCCCACGGCAGACCAGCTCTCTGGCTGCCAACATGCAAGTCCCTGTGTCTCCTTTGAGCAGGCACCAGGCCTGTCCATGTGCAGGACACCTAGGCTGTATGTGACCAGCTCCAGGCACACAGCAGGGAAAGGGCTCCATGCACTTGACACACAGGCAAGCTCACAAGCCGTGGCCCAGGGGTCAGAGGGCACTGGACTTGGAGCCAAGGTGGCTGTGAGTTCCATACCTGCCTCCATAGCCCTCCCATTTTTGTGATTAAAGGCAAACAGTGCATTCCCCTGTTTGGCATACAGGTTGCTTACACATTTTACAAACTAGTAGCGTTTCTGAAAAACAGAAGGGAACAGGCAAAGGCTGTTTTATTAACTCCTCCACACACCTAAACTCAGTGGACGAAACACCTCAGCTCAGTCACTGTATCCCTGAGACCCTGGTCTCCCCACCTGCCCTGCTGAGTTGCGGGGAGGACACAACAGGTTCGAGAAGGAAAGAGCTCAGCACCGTGCCTGCTGCATGGTGGGGGCTCGGAACTGCCGGGCCTCCTCATCATCTCCGTGCCCCTGGCCAGGGAGGACCCTGGACTCTGGGCTCGAGGCTTTGCTCTTCCGTTGATTTACTTAATAGCATGCTGGCCAAACCACCTCGCCTCTGAACCTGTCTCCTCAAAGGGACAACAGTGATGTCATCACTGCCTGTCAGGGCCCTGGTGAAGATCAGTAGTAACGTATACGCCCCCCCCACCAGCTGGCACCTGTGACCGTCTCCACACGGCTCCTGGCACCCAGGAGGTGCTCAGTGAACACTGTTTGCCCCGATGACCTGCTTGAGGTCTGCAGGGAAGCCCACCTGGGCGGCTGAGGGCAGACCCCACAAGGACGCTTGGCTGGGGCCGGAGGGGGCTGCTCACCTTCCTCCCGTCCACGCTGCCCTCGCTGCCCGGGTACGCCAGCTTCCGGCGCACATAGAAAAGCATGTCGTCCTGCCGCGGCGCCCATTTCTCCATGAAGTAGGTAGAGAACATCCAAGTCCAGAAGACGATGCGGTCATCCTTGAAACACCCTGCCGAGGGAGGCCGGAGAAGAGTGAGAAAGGATGGGTCAACCTGGTCCTTGCATGTGACCTTGGCCAGGCCGTCTCCCCCTCCTCCCCACCCCAACCTACATTTCTGGTCAGAGGTCTGCTGGGGCTCCGTGATGTCCAGAGCCCCCTGCTCCCTCACCGCCCCCCCCATGCCCTCCTGGCCAGGGGACAGGGGCTCAAGGACACCTCCCAGCAGGCCCAGTGCCTCCGCCCAGAGAGCCTGAGCGAGAGCCCCGGGCCCCAGCCCCACAGCCCGGCAACTCCAGCGTGGATGAATCAGCAGCTTGGTGGGGCAGGAAAGCCCTAACAGGAGGCGAGAGGCAGCGTCACTGGCTGGCTGGGCTGGGAGCAGATGGCTCTGCAGGGAGCTCCAGAGGCGGGCACCACCCTCGGCCAGCATCCCCCACCCCCGCCCCAGGCTGCGGCAATTCCCACGGAGAACCGGACTTAAAGGAACCGCGGCCCATGCCAGCCAGCCTAGGCCGCCGGCAGACAGCAGGGAAGGCACCCACCCCCTCCCTCACCCCTGCGTGTAGTGGAGCCTGTCATCGGCCAGATCTGTTCTCCCTTGATCTTCCTTGGCGGCTGGCGGGGGCGGGGAGGGCTCTTCTTTTTATTACAGATACTGTTTCTTTAGGATCCGTAAATCTCTGTCGTAATCCTTCCCGCAGGAGGAGAAAAAGCCCACGGGCTCTGGTGGGAAAGACCCGGGTTTCTGCTCCCGCTCCGCCGCTTGCTGAGGGACGGCAGGCAGGCCGTCTGGCCTCTCTGGTCCCCAGGTTCCTCAGTGAATGTCGACCACCCGACACCTGGCAGGGAACCGGCACAGACAGAGCCCGGGCCTGGCACAGAGCAGGCTCAACCCACGTGGGCTTCCTCCCTATCTGGGCAGATCCGACGCAGTTTCGAGATATGCAACGGAGCTATTTCTTATAATCAAAATATGAAATTGTTGCTGGTTTCTTCCTCTCTTCTCCAGAAAATACTTTACCACTGTGACCTAGTCCTCGTACTTTGGTGGCAGAAGGACCTAATCCCCAGCCTTAGAGATGGGGAACCTGAGAGGCTGCCGGTGCTGGGCCCCCTCCCCGCCATCACAGGCAGTTCAGCGGCCCCGCCAGGTCCCCTGACTCGCCTCCTGGGGGCTCAGCCATCAGGCTTTGGAAGACGGGGTCGCTTGCAGAAAGCCCAGGCTTTGTTCATTTCAGCCACACAGCGACCAAAGAACCCAGACTCCAAACCAGCCCGTGCCCCCTGTCTGGCCACCACCCGCAGCCTGTGGCCCACACCCCCGCCCCACCCTGTGTGGCTCCCGGGGGAGGAAAACAGAAGGGGTCTTCCGATCAGAGGTCCGGGTCAGTGGGCCTGCCTGTCGGCCCCCGGCGGAACCAAGCCCCCTATCTGCATCATCCTGCATCACTGCTTAGAGGTTCCTGCCACGCTCTGACAACAGGACGTCACACCACCACAGATCCCCTGCAAAGGTGAGCAAAGGCACCCTCCCTGCGGGTCCCGGGAAGCTCCCCAGAAGCATCTCTGCTTTGATGAGCAGGGCTCACGGCTCAAACCTCCCCACCCGCCACAGAGACGCAGAGGGTCGCCACCAGTGTCTGTCCTCAGGGCCGGGTGCTGTCTTCCGCAGGTGATCCCTTTCGTTGTGCTAACAGAAGTCACCTGGTAGTAGCCCCGCGGTAGCCGGGCACCCAGTCAGCGTCAGTGATGATGAGCAGAGCATCAGCTGCGATTCGAGACACGCTAGCCTCCTGTGGGCCCCGGGCCACAGACGCCACGCAGGTTATCACCTTCAGCTGTCACCACTGCCCCCAGCACAGAAGAGACCGGCCCTCAAGAGGTTCAAGGACGCTCTCAAGTTCACAGAGTTAGAGACTGCTGAGGCCCTCGGACCTGTCCGACCCCACACTCCGGCTCCGGAAAGATGCTCCGCGCTACGCTCAGCAACCTGGCGAGATGAAGGAACCGGATGCTCCCCGCCACTGCCTGGCGAGCAGCTGTCCCGCCCTGGGAGCGCCGTGGACCCCGGGAGCGCCGTGGACCCGGGGAGCGCCGTGGGTGGGACGGCTTCCCAGGCTGGGGGATGAGGGGTCTGGTTTCAAGAGGAAGTTCTGGATGTGGCACAAAACATGCACGTGCGTGCTCTCTATCAGCCTACGCGCCCAGCGGGGGCCGCTCGAAGGGTCCGTTTCCCTGTCTGACAGCGCCGAGAACACCTTCTCCACAGCTCACCCACCCCGGGTCAAGAGGACAGTCTGCAGGCCCCAGGGGCCGGAACCACACTGCCGGCCAGCATTTATTCCAAGGCCGCCCTCCCTATCTGGGCCACACCCAAACCAGATCTCGCAGGAGGCTGGTGCCAGGCCCACGCCAGTTCCACCACACAAACGCTCCCCACCAAACTCCCAGCAACCGGAGGCCAAGTCCTTCTCCCCACCCTCACTGCCAGCCCTGGCCCGAGCGAGCACCACCTCAGCCCCGACAGCCCACCCTCCACACCACAGCCATGGGATCTTTATTTAAGCATCTTTCCCTGCCTGCCTTAGAGCCTTCCCATGGAATTCTGAATAAAACCCAGAGTTCCCACCGACGCTGCATGACAGCCCCGTCCCCACTCCGTCCCCGTCACCGGCCTCCAGGGCACGCTGACCTGAGCCCTCACCCCCTCGGGCGCTTTGTCCCTGCTGCTCCTCAGCCTCCACTCCTCTGCCCTGGGACCCCAGCCCAGGCAGCTCCTCACTGCATCCCACTTAAGCTGCAATGTCACCTCTTCACGGAACCTCTCCTGACCCCATACTAGACGTGCCCCCTGGGTTCTCCCTGTCACATCATCTGGTTTTACTGCTGTCACAACCTCATCACCCCTGGTGTTTTCAAGTTTGCTGTCTGTCCCCTGCAGCAGGAAAGCATCCCAGGAGTTGGGACCACCAGACCTCAGAGCCCAGCAAAGTGCCGGGCATGCAGCAGGCACTCCATAAATGCTGGCTAAATAAACAGCTTAGCCCAACTGAACAGGCTCAGGGAGGGGGCAACTTGCCCAGGGGCCCACAGTCGGGAGGTGGCCCAACCAGGGCCATCCACCTGAAGCCTGGGCCACCTTCTGTCAGTCACAGGGCCTGACTTAAGAAATATCTCCCAAAGAAGCCCTCTGCGTGCAAGCCCCCCTCGCCGGGCTCTCCGGGGCCTGAAGCGATGACTCCACAGTCAGACCGTGGGGAGCTGCATGGGGCGGCGGGTGGGCCTACCGCGTGAGCTGAGAAGGTTCAATGGGAGAGAAGAGGAGCGGGTGTCCAGCCTGGGCCGACCCTCATCCAGCCTCCCAGAGCACCTGCTGCCACGGGGCGCCCAGCACCTGCGAGTTAGGAGACCCAGCGCCAGGGAGCTCCGAACACAACAAGGGGCTTAGAGACTCGCCGCCCGCTGTGGAATGCCGCACAGACAGAATTCATGAACGTTACTATTTCAGTTCCGGCATGACCAGCCCAGCAGGAAGACAGTCAAATTCCAACACACCTCCCTCTAACGTGAGGTGAAGAAGGCCCATCGCAAGACGGAAGAGGCATTCAAGGCAAAGAGCCGCCAGGACAAGCGCCAGAAGGGGCCGTGGGCATCACCGTGGTGGAACAGGCCCGCAAGACCATCTCGACACCCGGGAAATCACAAAGGTCAAGAGCTGCCCTCCTCAACATCTAAAACTGCCCTCTTGTCCAAGAGAAGCATCCCTGAAATGAAAGGTAGCATGAAAATCGGGGGAGAGCAAGGCGAGGTTAAGTAAGAGGTGTCCGTAATATACAAAGAACTCAGATCACAGCAAGTGATGAAAGGAAATGCCTACCGACCCTAACAGACAAATGGGTAACATACCAAAAAGGAAATGTAACTGGTTAACAAAAATGTGGGAAAGCACGAATCTCTCAAGTAATCAAAAATTCATTACAAACAACAAGCTGTCATTTGGGAAAGGGCAAATTTGGTATTTACAAAAATCCCACTTCGGAAAATGGGCAGCTTCTTATAAACATCTATTTGCCGGTGATTCAGCCACTCCTAGGGACGTACCTGGGAGAAACGAAGCAAGTGTCTCTGTAAACGCTGGTACACAGATATTCCTAGAAGGTTTATTCATAATAGCCCCAAACTGGAAACCAGGAGAGTGGACACGTGACACAGCCCCTCGGTGGAGGGTTACTGGCAGTAAAACCAAACTACTGAGCCACATGATACCACATGACACCACGGGTGGATCTCAGAGCCGGCTGAAGGCCGACACAGAAGGCTACATACAGGGCTTCTGCCCACAGTGACAAAAAGCAGATCAGGGGTGCCTGGGGGGCTCAGTCGGTTAAGCATCTGCCTTCGGCTCAGGTCATGATCCCGGGGTCCTCGGATCGAGCCCTGCGTCTGGCTCCCTGCTCAGCGAGGAGCCTGCTTCTCCTTCGCCCTCTGCCACTCCCCCTGCTTGTGCTCTCTCGCTCTCTCAAATAAATAAATAAAACCTTAAAAAAAAAAAAAAAAGCAGATCAGTGGTTGTCCCCACGCATTGTTTCTCGTGCTGGTGGTTTCACAGGTCCATACAGCCAGCAAAACTCATCCAAGTGGCCACATGGACCACTTTGTCTTACGTGAATCACGCTCTAATAATGATAAAAAGTTGTTAAGAGCCAAAGCTGGCAAGGGCATGCTGCCCTGGGATGCTCATATATTGCTGGAGAACAAACCACTCTTGCCTTTGTGAAAAGTAAACGGACATTCTCCTACTTCTATGAATCTACTTTATGCAAGAGAAATAAAAACAAACACAAAAATAAAAGGCGTGTGCACAAACCTCTTTCCTATGGTTTTACATGAGAGCCAGTAATGTAACCCCAACGATAATAACGAAGGGGAAAAAGGAAAATAACATTCTGTGCTGACATTCAATCTAGTGAGTTACGATCCATCTGCTAAGCCAAGTCTTCGTCCCTCCTCAAGGATGCCTATGAAGAGCACAGGCGGATCCACGGGCTGTGTGCAATCCGATGCTCAGGGAAGAGCAGAGCTTCAGCCACGGACACGCGCAGACACGCGGACCCAGCTGCCTGGGCCACGTGGGAACCAGCAGCAAACACGCCAATGATAGGGGCTGCTGAGCCTGACCGGGAATAGCCTCCCTTTCCTCCTTCTCTCTCAGTATTGGTAATAGGCCAGTGATACCTCCTCTTCCGTGAACACACAACGTCCGATGCATGTCATCAGGCTGATGAAAGAGATGCTCCACGTCCAAAGTGAGGGGCGAGGGCGAGACCGGGGGAGAATTCAGGCTCCTGGAGGCACAGAGCAGCGTCTGGATCTGCAGTCAGACACACCTGGGTTCGGGTCCTGACTCAACTCCGCACGAGCCGGGCAGCCACTCCACGCAACCTCTCTGAATCTCAGTGACTGCATCCATAAGATGGGTCTAACCTGCCACCCTCCCAGAATCGATGGTGAGGACCGGGTGAGAGGCCGACAGGAACGTCCTTTGTAAACGGTAGAGTCCCATCCACATGTGGGTTCGTGGGGACATCCTGCACTGCTGCTCTGCGTGTCTCTGTCCACGACGTGGCCTTTCCCCAGGCCTGCCCAGCAAGAGATGCCCTAGGTCACAGCCCAGGCAGTTGGCACCCTGGCAGAGAGGTCCCTAACCTCCCCAACTCCCTCTGACCGTCTCCTTGCCATCCGGCTGCCGTGGCAGGAGGTTTTCAGGACCCTTGAATCCAGTGGACAGACTTGTGGGACAGAGGCAGCCCCTGATGCTGAGCAGCTCACCTGGGCCCCGCCACGGACCTCCACGCCTGAGGGCCCACCTTCCCTGCTGGCCTGGGGTCCTACAGCAGCATTCTAATGGTCTCCTTTCTCATTATTCGTGGTAGTTATGTTCTGCAAAGTAGCCAAAGACATAGGATGAGCTCTACCACACCCATGCTCCTAAGGGAATACAGGGGGAGGTTCCTGCAAAGCCTCTGGACACACTTCCACCAACCAATCAGCACATAATCTTGTTTTATGTGTGTTTGTTTCGTGACACCTGATTTCATATAGAGTTGGTTTGCACTATAACTTGTGCCTGAACGAGTCTAAGACTGGTTATCTTCTCCACAAGGGCTGGTCGCAGCCCTCTCGTGCCTGGGACAGATTCCAGCCTTATGCCTGGGGCCACTTTAAACAGCAAAATCACCAACACGGTGCACAAAAATGCAAAATACAAGCACTAAATAGTCCCCAAACGGACACTTGTGTACCACATGAGCTGATATGAGGCCAAGCGTCACCTTGTTTGACCTCGGGGGGAATGTGCACCCACTGAGCTCCTCAAATTTTTCACCACTTTGTGCATGTCTGTAATTAACCTCAAAAGTGCTGTAAGTACTGATTTGGGGGCTACAAGTAAATTTTAGCAAGCAGATGAATTTGCAAACACAGAATCCACACATAATGAGGATGGACTCTATCAGAAAAACTGGTATCTGTCAGCTCCAAAGGGGCCACGAGGATCCAGCTGCCTCCCCTGCCTCGAGCAAATTATTTTCCATTAACCAGACCTTTGAAAAATTATGAATTAGATTTTGGAAGGCATTCCTTGAAACCAACCCAGTCTTCTTCAAGACCATTAAACCACACAATTAAGCAAGGTACATAATGCCTTAATTAAAACAGTTTACGGGGGTGCTGGGGTGGCTCAGTCGGTTAGGCGTCTTACTCTTGATCTCAGCTCAGGTCTCGATCTCAGCATTGTGAGTTCAAGCCCCATGGTAGGCTCCATTATGGGAGCCTACTTTAAACAAACAAACAAACAAATAAACAAACCAGTTTATAGCTATTAAAAATGAAGACCATTGTATTACAGTAGAGAAAACTGTCCAAGAACCACTTCTAAAAAAGGTACTTTGGAGTAGTAGGCCAAAAGATGTTTTTGAGAGGGCAATTCTACCAGATCTTCAAGAAACAGCTCCAATGCTACTCACACATTTTTAGAGCCTAAGAAATTTGCACATTCTTTTTAACAAGGAGGCATAATGTTGATTCCAAAAATAGAGCATGCATACACACACACATACAAGAAAGTATGAGTGAGTTCTAATCTCACTCATGGATAGAAACATAAAAATCTTAAATACAATATGAAAAAGAACCCAGCAATCCAGTAAAATATATCCCATTTCCAAGCAGGATTTAATTCAGGAATACAAAAATGGTCCAATATTAGGAAATCTATTCATATACTCACAATATATTTACAGATCAAAAGAGAAATAACACATGATCATCTCCACGATGCTGAGAGAACATTCAGTAAGATTCAATACCTTTTCTTGATTAAAAAAAAAAAATTCTCCATAAAGTAAGAATAAAGGGTATTTCCTTAAACATGATCTATAGCTCAAGTAGAAAAAGAAACAAGTTAAATATTATCACAAGGGGCACCTGGGTGGCTCAGTTGGTTAAGCGACTGCCTTCGGCTCAGGTCATGATCCTGGAGTCCCGGGATCGAGTCCCGCATCAGGCTCCCTGCTCAGCGGGGAGTCTGCTTCTCCCTCTGACCCTCCCCCCTCTCATGCTCTCTCTCTCTCATTCTCTCTCTCAAATAAATAAATAAAAATCTTAAAAATATATATATATTAAATATTATCACAATTCACTATGATTAACATTGTTCTAAGGGCACTAGATACACTGCGGCTAGATAATGAAGATATTAAGAATAACAGAAATTGTGAAGATAAGGTAAAATTAACATTACTTACAGATGACATTATACCTGACTTGCAAAATGCAAAACTCAACTGAAAACAACACAAGTCATACGTTCAAAGTCACCAGTACATCCAGAAACCAACAGCTTTGAGATAAACCAATATTCCAGTTAGAAGGTATAATGGGAAGAAATATTCTGTTCAGAATTTTTTAAAAAGAAAAAAAAAAGAGGGGTGCCTGGGTGGCTCAGTCGTTGGGTGTCTGCCTTCGGCTCAGGTCACGATCCCAGGGTCCTGGGATCGAGCCCCACATCGGGCTCCCTGCTCCGCAGGAAGCCTGCTTCTCCCTCTCCCGCTCCCCCTGCTTGTGTTCCCTCTCTCGCTGTGTCTCTCTCTGTCAAATAAATAAATAAATAAAATCTTTAAAAAGAAAAAGAAAAAAAAGAAGAGAGACTTGAATGACTGAAGGTTTGCCGACTTCTTAGCTAGGAATATTCAAATCACAGAAGGAGCAACTCCACTAATTTGATAATTTAACATGAGCCAATAGAAAATGGCAAGAGAATGTTTCGGAATAAGCGAGAACAGCCAGGGCAATTCAGAAAGAATGATGTGGGGCCAGGGCTCCTATCAGTATTAAAAAACCACAGCAGAGGGGCGCCTGGGTGGCTCAGGTCATGATCCTGGAGTCCCAGGATCGAGTCCCGCATCGGGCTCCCTGCTCGGCAGGGAGTCTGCTTCTCCCTCTGACCCTCCTCCTTCTCATGCTCTCTGTCTCTCATTCTCTCTCTCTCAAATAAATAAATAAAATCTTAAAAAAAAAAAAAAAAACCACAGCAGAAAGCTAAACCCTCCTGTCACCCCTTGCTGTTACGGACCTAAAACCCCTAAAACTGTGGGATGCCTCTCGCCTCAGCCAGCAAGAAGAACAGAACCGGAGGGAGCAGGGACCTGTAACCCAAAGAATCCTAGCAAACGAAATAGCGAGACTCACCCAACGTGAAACAACAACAACAACAAAAAAAAAAACTGAGAAATGCCCCTTGACCCCATAGCGCCAACCAGAAGCTGACTCCAACAGAAACTTTTCCGTCATTTTCCTGGACGGATTTGGTAGTGTACATATTGGTTAATTTCTACCATTGCTTTCTTCCCCCATGCAGAACTGTGACGTTATCTCTGTATCGTTTCATTGATTCTATCTTCAGACAAACCTGGAATCCAACCACGTCCCACAAACCACTCTTCCACCCAGAGCCAAGACACCTATCTCCCACCTGCCTTACTGGTACAGCTTCCTAACTGGTCCTCACGCTTCAGTCAGTTCTTGTCACTTCCCTGCTCAAAACCCCCCTTACCTGCCTCCAGCCCTTTAGAAGTATCCACCTTCTCCTCAAGGCCTTCCCAAACCACCCCATTTAAAATTGCAAACCCCACCCCAAGCATTCCATCCCACTTCCTGCACCCATCACTACATAACATCATCTCTGTTTTACCTGTTTGCTTTGTTTGCTTTCAGCCTTTTCTTAGGACAGGAGCCAACACACTTCTTCTGTAAAGGTCCAGACAGAAAATATTTTAGGTTCTGCAGACCATATGGTCCTGTCTCAACTACAAAATCACCCCGAGCAATGCGTAAAGAAATGAGCATGGCTGGGTTCCAACCCAAGTTTTTTACAAAAACAGGCAGCCGGCCAGAATTGGCCTGGGGCCATGGTTTGCCTGTCCTACTAGAACTGATCTGCGTTTTAACAGAGATGCCCCCTTGAGAATGTAAGCTCCATGAAGGTATGACTACGTTTCCACTTTGATCATTTTGTTCAGTGCTGTATACTCAAGTCCTAGAATAGTGTCTGGCCCAGAGAAAGCAATAAATTTTGGCCAACGGAACAAGTAAGTGACATGAACTCAGTGAATGATGAAGCCAGGATGGTACTGCGCATAAACACACAGATTCATGGACGAGTACAGAAAGTACCGAAACAGAAGACACACTGTGATTTCGTTTGCATCGAGGTGGCACTTCAAATCAGCAGGATGAAGACGAGCCTCCAGCCACTGGCCTCGGGACAACTGGCTAGCGAGGAGAAAAGAATAAGGCTGGGTCCTTGCTCA